ATGATGATCTGTTCATTTCAGCTGAGGGAAGTGTTTGTCCTGCTGCTCATCACATTCTGCTTTCCATTTCTTTTAAATTAACTATTAGCTTGAGATGCTGGCATGTATAGCTTAGAACATAATTAGGATGTTCATGCCTTTTTTTTTTTTTTTTTTTCTTTTTATAACATTTACAGAGCGTTGCATTTTTTTAATTGTCCACTACTGACTCTGGCAATAATCCCCTCCAAAAGAACAAATAATTAAAAAGCTATGTAATAAGAGAACTGCTGCGTATACCAGTTACGATGGAAACACTTTGTCTTTGAATCATCTGTTTTCCCAAATGCATTCAGCCCGTGAGTAACTTATTAAAGATCCGCACAGACCTTATCTTAGCCGGTCCAAGTGACAATGAAAAAAACTTGCCTTTCACCATCGCTGCAGAAGTGCCGCATTATGTTTTCATAACGCGAGTTTGGGAAAAGATAAAAATAATTTGCTCTCCTGTTCGGAGCCGTTATAAATGAAGAAGATTGCCTTTGACTCCTTTCAGAGGTTTGAGTATTTCGGAGTGCGGGAGAGTGCCATGGTCACCGTGCAGAATTTGACAGGGGCCATTGGCAAATAATTAATGTTACCATGGCGCTGCCCATATAAAGCCCCAGTAAAGTTAATTATGTGCGGTGGTAACTCTGTAATGATCTTGAAGATAACTGCTGTGGAAGCAATATCCGTGAGGAATTAAAAGAGGTTCGGGAGAAAGTCGTACGTTAAAAAATATGCGCACAGCTTAGCTACAAAAATAAAACCGGGATTTCACTTGCTTCTGGTTTCCCTCGTACCTGAAAAGGCAGTCGTTTGCTTGATTCAGGGTTGGGAAGAAGCAGTCAGTGAGTTTATAGGTTGGGTGACTGAAACCCTGAGTTTCGGGATGGGTTTTGCTACTGAGTCCTGTGATCAGTGCACATGAAGTCAAGCCCAATGTATGGAACCTCTCAGTGTTGGAAGTCTGAGCAGGTGTGCAGTGGTGGTGGTCCCAAGGAGCCTGCCCAGCTCCACAGTCTGCTAAATGTGGGAATCCAGAATGGGCTTAGCCTTTTGAGGGAGGATATAAAACTCCAAAGATGCTGGGCAGTCCTACCTTTGCCACTGTGTCACCTGTCAGAGACTTCAACATTGAGCAGCCCTGGCTGGCGTGACGTCCTGCCCTCCTGAGACTGTCCCCAGGGAAAAGGGGACAGAGAGCTGTGGCCCCCTGCAATCTTCTGCTCCTCCCGTCAGCCAGCTCTGTCCTTCTGATGAAGAAGCATCTTTTTTTGCAGGCTGAGGACCTGGGGAAAGGACAAACGTGTGAGAGCTCTGGCAGCCGGCAGAGCTGGCAGCAAGCTGATGTGGCCTTGGAGGGGATGTCCAGCTGTCGAGCTGGTGTCAGTGTCCTGTGTGTTTGGAAAGATCCCAAATACTTTTTGGCAAAAGGGCTGTGAACTGACTGTGCAGTCGAGGGGGTTTCCGGTTCTGTTTGCGTTGCCCTTTTCAGCTGCACTGATGCTGGTGTCCCTTACTTTGCAAGCACAGCTTTACAGCTCCGAAGTGAGACCTTGTGCATTTAGCTGACTTCACCATCCCTCGTCAGCCTTATTTTTCAGGCTTCTTCCTATCCTCTTCCCACCTCTCCATAGCTTGTCAGTATATTCGTTGCATTACGAAGATGGGAATTCGGAGTGCATCAGGCCAGGGTGCTTCCTCCCTTCCTCCTTTTATCTTGCATCCTTTAGTATTTGTGAGTTCTCTGCGTTGTCTGTGGTAGAACAGCATCCACTTACATCGTGTAACATGGGGCAGAGACCCCTGCTTATACTCATAGAGTGATCCTGGTGGAATCAGCATTATGAGGTTACTGGTAAGGAGGACTCAGGAGCAAATGCAGTGCTGTGTTGGCTTAGGGTTGATTTTTGATGCTTCCCCCCCCCAAATTTTCATTCTGAAATGTGACTGCTCATTCTTTCTGCCGTACCATCTTCCCAGGTGGCTTTCTCCAGTTTTAAAAGTGATGCTGTGTTCTCCTATTCGGTACTTGTAGTTCCTGATCATTTTTGATCTGTCTCTTCACTGCTTTATATCTGTACATGTTAAATCTCCTTTTCCTTAACTCACTCATCTCTCTGACTTTTTAAAATGGTGCTATACTTTCTCTTCCGAAATGTTTTCCATTTTTTTCCTCTTGCGTCACGCTCTTGTTTTATTAAACTCCCCAGTTTGATCATTATCCATTTTATTAGTCAACATAATGGTGGCAGCAGCAATGATCTATGTCAGTTTTTGCCACCATAGTTCCCTTTGTCCCATAAATCAGGGTCTCATGCTGTGTCCTTTTGGAGGTGTAGACCACTGGTAGAGGCACTGAGATGTGGTTTCTTGCTTTGTGGTTCTTTGTCTAGATGACAATGCCTTCAGAGCTGCCCACCAGCCTTGCAATTCAGACCCTCCCCTGAATCTGGATCATTGTTGCAGTGCCTGTGCAGCTGTAGCATCCCAGAGCCGTAGCCTTGGGCCAAGACTATTATCCTCCCCAGCCGATTGAAGAGTACTAATTTGCTGACATCCAGCATCAGTAGTAACTAATGAGTCCTTGGCTATAAGTGGGTGAAGTGATGTACTCGTAGGGGACCAGAGCAAACTCAGAGAGGAGCAAACGCACGGAGCAGCAGCAGTGTAAGTAATGTCTGAACCCACGGCAGAGCAGAACTCTGGGCAGCCCCTACAGAATAGGTAAAATAGGTCCTTGTTGCTCCTTCCTCCCACATGTGGGTTTGCGTCCCAGGTCAAAATCTTGTTGTTTTTTTTTTGTGAAGAGAAGATCATCACTAGCGTTCTGCTTGCACCAAGCCTGGCTGACGTCAGTGAAGCTCTGCCTGTTCCTGCCAGCACTGAGTTTGACCCATTTTATTCAGAGTCTATGTTACATACCTCCGTACAAATGATGAAGCAGTGGCTTAACACAAGCAGTGATTCATAGTGGCAGACACCTCTGCAGTCCTCAGAGGATGTCTGGATCTTTCCATGGCTGCACTTCACTGAGGAACCACCTTGTTTTCAGCCCCGAGTCATCTGGAAATGGCCAGCTGCTGCTGGGAAGCCCAGCCCCTCCCTCTGTGCACTGAAAATCCCAACATCTAACTTCTGAGTATGCCTTATCCCTGTTGTACATTAAAGGAGGGCACAGATGATCTCTAGCATCCCATGCTATGGGGGTAGCAAGTACCAAATGTTGCTGTAGCTCTTGTGCCAGAAATGTGCCACACGGTGTGAACGTGTAAAAGCAGCAATCGCTCCTGTGGATCTCCGTGTCATCGAGCTCAGCCCTGCAGATCTGTGCTGCTTTTTGCTCGTTCCTGAAACTTGCTCAGAAACAACTGCGCAACAAACAGCCTGCTTATGGTTTTCTTTCTTCATCTCTGTTGCAGGCATATTACCTTTTAAGAATCTGTTACTGCTGGTGGTGTTCATTGTGTTTGAGTGTCGTGTGTTAATCTTGTGGCGTGCTGTGGTGATGCAGCATCGTTCTTGTTCCCCTCAATCATGGTACTCCAAACTTTGTTTGCATTTGTAGTGCATCAACTTTTAAGCAGCCGAAAGCAAAACTGAGTATGTAGAAAGAACAAAAGATATCATTTCCAGTCTGGTTGTGGCCCAGCAAGGCAGAGAACAAACTTAAGCTCAGATGCCAATTTCGGTACTGAGCCCTGCAGAAGCTTTGATCAAAATCCTTTGTATTTCCTGTCTCATTTTCCTTCCTCTGAAAGAGGAAGAACGACAGCTATTGCCACATACCACTGCTTCTATATAAACAGTGTATTCATCACATATTGCTGTTGAATATTAAGCAGTGTGTCACATATTTTTGTAAAGCTTTGATAAAGCACGTTAAAGGAGAAAGTTAAATGATAATGATGTGCTGTTTGTATATTTTTTGGTTTGCTGCATTTTTTTACATTCAAATTAGAAAACAAATATTTGATGTGTATTTGCCTTTTTCACTTTTGATCCTGATTTTTTTTCTTCATTCACAAGTAGCCCCTTGTTTTCTGACCTAGTGTTGTTGGAGAATGAAAGCAATGTTTTTCTAAACAGTTCTTTATCCAAGTTCATGCCAAAAGCACTGTGGATTTGGACTCCACCCTATACCCCAGACACTCTTCAGCATGAAAGAAAAGCAAAACTGTCTTTTAATAAGATGAAACCGGGTTGTATAATCATTGGATTTGAATTGCCTGCTCTCACTAGAACTGTAGATTCACGTCTTGGCTAAATAACTCCTAGCCCTTCTTCCATTGGAAATGGATATTTTGAGCAGCTTACAGTTTGGGGATCCTTCTAATAAGACCTTAACAGAATGACACTCTGTCTGTTACGCACAGCCAGTGAGGATTCATGGTATTTTGCCACAATTACCTTGCAAGAATGCTTTCTCCTCCCTGATTGCACGGTGCCCTGCTTGTCCATGGGACTCGTGCTTTCTCCTCCACAAAGGCCCCTCAGTTACTGGGGCTGTGCTGGTAAGATACTTGAAGGCGTTTGGAATGATGTTGTTTTCTCTTTGTTGTATTGTCAATGGTGATACGTCCATTTGATGTTAGTTCAAAGCTTACTGAAGCCACTGAAGCTTTTCAGAGACTGGGGGGACTGGATCACCTCGCCATGCGGAGAGAGAACTTGTGGTGAGAATGCGCTGTGCGTTGCTTCCATAGGGAAAAAAAATCCAGTGAAAACTCTTTTTTTTTCCCATTTTTAAAAATAAAATATATGACTCGTCCCGTGAAAGATAGACCAAGGGCAATCTCCATTAGTATGCATTAACATTTCCCATTCAGCACGTCCCTTGAGCATACAGGTCAAAGGAGAATGAATGTGTGCATGACCTACATCCTTCAGAGACAGGGCAAAGTATTATTTTCCTAGGGACAGCGAGGTCTGTCCTGTGACTGTCCTCTGAGGGAGTTTATTTCTCGTGTTCACAGAATCGACGACTGTTTTTGTGCATCTCGGAAACTGGATGCAGTTGCCACTGAAGCGAAGTTCAAGCAAGACCTGGGTTTCCGAATGCTCAACTGCGGCCGAACGGATCTGGTTAAACAGGCCATATCCTTGCTGGGGCCGGATGGGATTAACAGCATGAGTGAACAGGTAACAAGATAGAAATGTAAAGAAAATCGTGAAAAGTGAGGGTTTTTTTCTGTTTATCGAAGTAAATGAGCCCCAGCTTTCAGCTAAATAAAGGCAGGACCTTAATGTTTACCCTGCATTACTTCACGTTTAGTTAAAGCACCATCAGGTGAATATCTAAGATAAGTTTGGTCATTTCAAGTCGTATTGATTCTTTGGTACTGAGGCAACTCAGCATGAGGGCGAATGCATCCCCTGAAATATTCTTAGCAGAGAAGTGAATTGGGTGAAGCCAGAAGGAGATCATGATACAGCTTAGAGTTAATCTGAATACTTAAAATGGTTTTAATGTCTTGAACAGTGGTGTGGGACAGGACTTTCTGAGGTGAACATCTTTCCAGAGAAAACTGCCCTGGGATTTGCAACACGTATTACATAAACCCTCAGTCCCCAGTCAGGAAAAAGTTAATCGCTGGCACTGTCTGCCTGAGTTGAGTCCTGTTTGAAATGATCTTCTAGACGTGAAAGCCTCTCTGCAATGTTACCTCTCCATTAGCTGTGTTGCCAACATCCACCAGCTGAAGAGCCTAAATTTCTCTGGAGTTGCTTCTCCAGGAGGCCAGTGGTTGTGTCCAGGGATAAACCTGCCCCTGTGGCTGGCACGGTTGGACTGTGATCCTCATGAGGTCATTCCCCATTCCCAAGAGGGTAATGATGGACCTGGATATTACCGCTTCCTTTTGAAATTGCGTTTTCTGAATTTTCTGATGCCCCCAGTGAAAGTCACAGTTGGATTGTAAGTAAGTTTAGGTCATCTGAGAGGAAAGCTTCTCTAGGAATGTGAGTTATGTTGCATTCAGTAGTTTCAGTTTGGGTCAATATTGTGAATTTCTTTGAGAAAAGCTTTAGAAGAAAGCAGTACTCCCTGAAAAAAAGTTGTATGAGAGAGCCCATTCCAAGGTTCATACATCATACTTCTAAAAATCATTATTATTTTAAGTTAGTCTGAACCTGGAAACTTTTCACAGCATATTTCCTCTGTCCTCCAGGCTGAAACCTGGGAACACTCTGGCTTGATTCATCAAAGTACTTAATCATATGCTTAACTCTGAACACATGCTTACATCCCATTTGAGTGAAAGTTAAGCCAGTACTTAAATGCTTCCCTGGACCAGACATCCCACATCTTGCAGGGTAGAATCCTAAGTGATACAAGGCTGAAAGAAAAAGAGTCATTTTTTATTTTACCAAAAACCAAACGCCCTGGGTGCTGATTTTTCATGTTGTTACTGTGTTCCTGTGTGTGTGGAGCAGTAATGATGGGCTCATTAAAAACCCATTCCTCCCACCTGCAAAGAGACGGGGGCTGAGAGATGCTACAGCACAAGGCTGAGCTGCAGAGCAAGCCTGGGGACTGGCAGAGGCATAAGAAGCAGGGGCAACAGCGCAGGAGGAGGGGAGTTTGGAAACCTCATTAACTCTTGAAAATCCTGATACAGCAATGTGACATTCAGGGCCTCTTTTAGTCAACGGTAAGTCCATCATCAGCCTCAGCAGGGCCAGAAACCACGTGTGGCACACAGGCAGCCCCTTCACATTGCTGTGATTGCTGTGGGGCTCTTGGCTCTGGCTGCACAAGTGCTGGGTCATGCACAAGGACTTCAAAGTCATGTGCTAACCACCTGATTTAACTTCAGAATAAAACCATTTACAGAATTTGAAGTAATAGCTTAAGTAACAGGTACTTAATTTTAAGCTACTGTCCAGTCACCATGTTTCAAGGCCCAAGCACAACTTTTTGATAATTCTGGTGGTCTTGTTTACTCTGGTACTGTTTATTGACTGCCAGAGGAAATGTTCTGTCACTGACTGCAGCTGAAGTCGTTTCAAATTCTTTTTGCAAGTATCTCCAAGTCACCCGAACCTGTCCTTGCCTGGGGTGAAGTTGTTTGTTAATAATGGCAGGAGGCCCCAAATTCCTGTTCCCTTTCTCTGTATCTCCAAAAGTGGGTTTGATCCTGTGAAGTTCTCAATGACTTTCAAGGGGTCCCTCACTACCTTGCAGGGACAAACCTTAATTTATGTTTTCTCTACAAGGGCAATCCTTCCACACCTAAGCACCTACTGATTTTCAGCCCTGCATGCAAGCAGGGAAAATTGGTAGCTCAGCAAGAATGGTGGTGCTGGGCTCTGGCTAGGAACAGAAGTGAGTGGCACGGCTCTGTGTCTGGCCATGCTGGGCATCCCCTGTGCCTCTAAAAGTAATTTCACTTCATGGCAGCACTCAGGTTAAACAGTGAGCCTGCTGCCATCTGACAGCAAATTTAGCAGGCGACTTCGAGATAGGCTACAAACAGGCATCAGAGGTAGCCGCACGCTGCGGTAAATTTACTGCAAAACAACCAGTGACTGTTGATCAACACCCCCTACTGTATTCAATAAGCGGCTTTTTCTGTTATAATTTATGGTAGATTTAATGATTTCTTCATGGTTTCATCTAGACTCATTACCACAGCTACAATAATATTTATCTTAAGGGAAATGGTGATCAGGCGCAGCAGGTACATCAGATTAATACAAATTGCGTTGTGGTGGTTTGGTAGTGAAGGGTCAGTTAATCTAGTTTTCCTCCAGACAGGGCTGTGTTTTCCTTGCAACAATGCTGTCTAGCATTTCATTTAAAATTAAGTTTTTGTTTACCAGGGAGTGCTGTGCAAAGCTTTAGCATCTCCATTCCCTTTTATCCTACATGGAAAATACCGCCCAAATCTGCCCTGTCATAAGAAGAGCTTTGGATGTTTAAAATGGCTCTGGTGGTTATTTTAAAAGTTAGATTTTAAGAAACAGTGATCATAGAAAACGGAATAGACTTATTGTCTTTTTAAACTATCAGTGAAAATATGGTTGTTCTGATAAAAACATTTCTCTGCTGGGGCCCCAAGGACAAAAACGCTAAGTTTAGTACATGAACACGGAGGTGAAGCTCACAAGCCGGATTTCAGTAGCTGGGCTAAGAATGACAAGGATAATGTGTAAACAAAATAAAAAAACCAAAGTGACGGTGAAAATGGAGATTTTACTAAATGGTTTGCTTTTGTTAGTCTGAGAGGCATGTCTGTAACAGAGATAATGGATGTCATTAAATACATACTGTTAGTCTTGATGATATATACTTAATTATATTTTTTTTTTAAATGAAAAGAGTTTTGTGTTAAATTTGTCAATTCCTTTGTTTTTTAACTCCAAAAAATGACTAGGGCATGACTCCACTGATGTATGCTTGTGTCAGGGGTGATGAGGCTATGGTGCAGATGCTGCTAGATGCTGGAGCAGATCTGAATGCTGAGGTGAGGACTTTTTGTTGGTTGTATCTTTGTTCTGTTATTTGTTCACATCTTAAACTGCCTCCTGAATCAGTAGCAGAAGGAAAATCCCAAGAATTAAAAATAAAAGAAAATTGTCTTGTCTGGGACAGCACCACTCGAAATGAATAGTGAAATCAGACTGCATTAGGTTAACATTGGGATTCACTGCACAGAAAGGGGCAAGTCATCGGGCTTTCCCCACAGGTAATACTGATTTAGTTGTGTTTGCACACTGCAAATGAATACAGGCATTAGCACTAGCCATGGAGCACAGCTCTGATGGTATTGGAAGGATTCCCTGAATCTCAGCTGAGTTAAAATCAAGAGGGTGAAAGAAATACCCATCTGATAGCCTGCCAAACCTTGAGCATTTCTATGCCTTGGGATGTTCTGCCTAAGCATCCCCAGCACAGAAGCGCAGTGTAAGTTCCAGTGTTCTGTTTTATGAAATGCTTTGGGCTGAAAACTGTTGGATGAGGAGCTTAAAGCTTCCAGAACATAAACGTCTCTTTGATGAATGCACATCATAAACTTACACAATCTGTCCACCAAACAGATTGTGGTCCAGCTCCGTGCAATGCAGGTATGTACATTTTAAAGAGCCGTTTGAAAATCCATACAATAATTATTTGTTAATGATTCCAGTTTCAATTTGTGGAGGTCATGAGTAAATTAAGCTGTCTGCTTCACTTATCTGTGTTCCATCTGTTCTGTTTGGATTTGAGCGAGCTGATAGATTGCAGTTACTGCTTTCAGCCAGGCATTTTGCACTTTTAAAAATTTAATTTAAAAGTAGAAATAGATGTCACCTGCACAAGACTGATAGTCATTACTATCTGATTGCTGATCGGTGGCTTATGTGAAATCATCTGATGATTTCAGTTCAGTTTCTTAAGGAAGTCACTGTCACCCCTTCCCTCACAAGATTCAAGTAAGCCACCCTCAGAGCTGGCAATAATTGAATACTCGAGCCCTTGTTAGCACTCTCGATAGACAGATCAAAGACTGAATGGACATGGGACTGATCTCTCCTGCTTCTCTGAGTCTGTGGCTCACAGGTGGAAGGGCATTACTTGGCATTCATCAGGAGCAGAAAGCCCAGTCCTCCCAGTTGTGCCAGTAATCTTCCAGACTTGAACCAAATGCAAATGTAAAGAGTTTTGTCGTCCTGAAACTGCTGACATCTGAAAGTGCAGCTCCAGTGAGGATTCGAGCCTCCCTGATTCATTTCTGTAGAGTGTTTGCTCTGAAATCAAATGAAAACACTTTGGGACAAGAACTGTGAATAATTATGGTGTGCAATTAGAAGATGATTTGTGCACACCACAACCAACTGTGCAAATTGGGCAATTATGGCAAAAAAAGGCAAATCAGCCATGAACGAAAATAAATACTCTGTCAGGTGCCTGCATCATTTTCCCTATTTCTTTTTGCAAATCAGTTATATATATATGTGTTTCTAAAAGTAGCCTCAAATGCTGGGTGCCTCCCTTTCTGATTGCCCATCTTTAGTGAAAATGGACTCATTTCCAGATGTTCTGAGAAGCTGCAATTCACTCGGGAGTCAGTGGGACCTGTAGCTGCTCAGCAAATCTTAACTGAGGCTTTAGAAGCCCTGTGAGCCACAGGTCTTTTGCAAACACCATGTCAACTGAAAAGAATTCTGACCCCAGCCCCCCCCAAAAGAAAGAAAAAAAAAAAAAAAAAAAAAAAAAAAAAGGAGCAAAGGAGTTAAAATGACTTCATTTTCTTTGCTGCTTGCTGTGGGCTGCCCCAAACAGCAGTGGGAATCCATGCTGGAGGAGGACGAGCTGGACACGTGTCTCACTGAACTGTGATGGCCATTCTCAACCTCTGCTGCTCTTGCTTCCCAGCCTAAATCCAAAGGCTCAAACTGCTTGATCCTTTTCCTTCTAAGCAAACCCAGGCGCCTGCACACTTCTGTTGCACCAGGGCTCACGGTGCACTGGTCCCTCCAGGGCTGCACAAGAGAGAAAGGCACTTTGACCTCCCTCTTTGGCAAATCTGAGCGATGCAGCCAGGCGCTGGTGCAGATCCGCTCCTCTCACAAGCTGTGGGATCTGCACAGGCTCTTCAGATTTTGTCCTCATCCCTCGTTCTTGGGACTGAGGGCTTGGTCGTATGCTTCTAGCAAAATGCTGCATGTGGCACTTGGAAATGCAATCTGCTAATGCAACCAAGCATTAGGCTGCTGGCCCCACTCCCCTACATGGATAAAACTACCTCGGGCAGGATAGGGAAAGCAGAGCTGGCTGATGAGGCAGAGAGATGGTGCATCTTTTACGCTGATTTTAGTCCTCCTTCAAAGACCAATAATAAGGTTTTGAATTTTAGTGTCACACTCCATCTGAGTGTGCAAGCTCAGATTGCAAATGTTCATTAGATTGTTCCATCTCTGTGAACCTCATCAATATTAATATCCCCGACTTTAGGACGGGGAACCTGAAGTAGAGAGTGGTTATTCATCTTCCCCAATGTCTCCATTAGAGGAAACAGGCACTAAAACAGAAAATGGAAGGAGCAGTGTGAAAAATACCATTTTTTTTTTATCCTGAGGATATAGTTTGCATCTCTTTCAACTGTAGCCACCCTGCTTTGTTCTAACGCAACTCAGACAGGAGAAAAAAAGTAAAAAGGAGTTTTCTTAAAATATCTGTGAAATGCCACTCTGCCCCATCTGTTCTCAGACGTCTTTTTTTCCTCTGGTGGAAGAGGAGGAGCCTGGAAGTACTGCTGGAAACTCTAGGGCAGGGACTGGGATGTGTCTTTCTTGATGTCAACAACAAAAGTCCTACTGATTTATGTGGAAAGAATTTCTTTGGGCTGGAAGCAATTCCAAGCACTGGGGCTGTCAATACATGGTCCGGAGGAGACAGTGGGAGCAGTCCTTAGCTATAAGCGTCTGATCCATCCCTGCTTCCCTAGTGTGTGCTGCTGTAAACAGCTGTGGATGTTTTGACCTTGTGCAGAAGTATCTGGTGGCCAGTGGTTTAGATGGAGCTACAGTAGTTGGTAAAAAGACTTCATTTGGTATGAACGCTATTCAAGCTGTCAAATCGGCATGAACAGTTTTAGCATTAAGAAAATTTTTTGCTGGAAAAAAGAAACCAATCATTTTATAAAGCACCTTTCCCAGGTTTTCTATTTCACCTACTCCCTCACATGCCTGGCTTTCAGGCAGGTTGAATTTTCTTACGTATAGCTCTTTAAAAAAATAACTTTAATTTGTTTGTAGGTTGTCAGTACTGCTCATAAATACCCATCCGTCCACCCTGAGACCCGCCATTGGACAGCTCTGACATTTGCTGTGTTGCATGGACATATTCCTGTAGTTCAGGTATTATTGTATTTCCCTACCTGCATCTCATTCTTTTGTTTCTCCTCTTCAGTTATAATTACATTCATCTCAAACCAGTATCCTCTTGTCATACTCATATTGGTTACTTCTGCTTCTTCTGGAGTGTACTGATATATAATAAACCTATTATATAACGAATATGATGTTCAAACCTTAACCAATATGAGGTTTAAGTAGGACGATTTTAAAGCAAACTTGCACCAAAGAAAGTCTGTCAACTCCTTGTGCTCCTTCCTGACCACTCGTTTTCTGTGTTTGTTTCCTCATTCATTACGCTTTCTTCCGCTGTAATACTCTAACAAACACAAAACGGCTGCCTTGGTGGGGGAGAGGCAGACAGCAAGAGCCATCGCCCTGTCCCACAGGGGCACTCAGTCTCCTTACCCAAGCAAGGCATCGCGTGGGATATGCTGGTTCTGTGCTTTGGCATCACAAAAGTCGAGAAGGTTTATTCTTCAAAACAGCTGTGTCTATGGCACACATAATGAAGCGCCAAAACTATGAAAGCCTAATAGACAAGAGGGGCTGGAGGGCAGGCTCCATCCTGCTGTCTTTGGCCACTTTTGTTTTCAGCGTTGTTGTTATTCATGTGGAAGTGTTCCCGATGGAGACCACAGCTTTTGGACTCATTGCTGCGATTTGTCCTTAAGAATTGCCTTTCTTTGGCCATGTCTTTGTATAAAAGATGGAGGCAAATGAAATCTGCTCCACTTTAAGATGGTGATGGGCTTTTGTTAGACCACGAAGGAAGGATGCTCGTTGGGCTAATTTTCAGTATATCCATCGTCAGTGCATTACTTCCGAACACCAACCTTATCCCCATTTCCCATTCAAAAACGCTGGGTTACACTTTTTTGGCTCTGAAGTTGGACACTAGTGCTCCTGGTGTCTTGACAGTGTAAAACGAGCTAAAAAAGGGATCAATTTGCCTCTGTGAGAGAATGATCAGAATGTGCATGTCACTTGTCTCCATCGTATCTGGTTTGCAGATAACAAGAAGCATTAGACTCTCATTTGTCACTGTTCATGAGCTCTGAACACTGTGATACCCCCCCAGTTGCTCTAAATGGTGAATTTTCTTTCTAGCTCTTGTTGGATGCTGGAGCAAAGGTAGAAGGTTCCTTGGAGCATGGAGAAGAAAATTACTCTGAAACTCCTTTACAGTTGGCAGCAGCTGCTGGTAAGGACTTTCTCCTCCCTCTGTAATAAATTCTTCAGTCGAGATCTTTGAATTAAGATGAGCAAATAGTGGATTTTGAAAGATCTAAATGTGTGTCTCTTAACTCGCAGGAAATTTTGAACTGGTCAGTTTGCTGTTGGAGCGAGGAGCTGATCCCATGATAGGAACAATGTACAGGAATGGCATTTCCATGACTCCACAAGGTGACATGAACTCTTTCAGTCAGGCTGCTGCACATGGACACAGGTAGAGTGGGAACAAGTCTAGTGGCATACTTCAAGTGGTTATTTCTTGCCTGGGAGTCTGGTTTGAGCAGTTGGGTGAAAATTCTGCATGAGCAATTAACCATGTCACCAACTGGGCAGAGACGTAAGGCTTTTTACTGGCATGTGAATTTAACCAGTTGGTGGTACAAACTGCTTTTTACTATCCGATTAAAAAAAAAAGGAAGGGGACTCTCCATGGTGTGTTGCAATGTGCTGTCTGTTAAACGGGAGCTGGTGTGGTGGCAGGAAGGAATGCCAAAGCCATTCCTTCTGAATTTCTTGTTGACGTATTCCTGAGGTTTGGGGTGGATTGTGTCTGTACTGCTGCAGCCTTCGCTGTTGTGGAGCAGAGTTTCTGCATCTGCGTTTACTGTAAAGTCCTGTGTGCCTTAATGTTGTCCGTATGCTGGAAGTTTTTAAAAGACAGTAATGAAACGAGCACCTGGCATGCATGATCTTGCAATATGCAGGAGTTAACTGCAGTACGATGGATTAGTATTTTGATCTTCACATTCCTACTTTTCTGATTGTAGCCATCCAGAGGAACATAGATACAGGTTAGAGACAGTACCTGCCGTCTGTTTGCTTAGAGAAGAGCTGCCAGTCTAACAACACGCTCATGGCACGTCAGGGCGGGTTCAAGCAATGCTGCCCATCTGCAGCCTGCGAGGGATCTCTGGGAGGACAGAGAGGACAGTTGTTCTGCTGGAGTCTCACATTCACTGCTCAGGCCTTAGTGCCAGCCGGTCTGGGTGGGAGCCGAGCACCTGAGGAGGACTCCGAGGCTTGGCTGCAGCCTGTGCATGTCACAGAGCCACAGCTTACTTCTGAGAACTGGGTTTTATGTTCCTACCTACACACCATGCACACAGACTCCCTCCTCTTCCCCTCTCTTCCCAAACCACTCATTTGTTGGGGACACCCCTTGCCAGTGGCAATGCAGCCACTCCATGCCAGATTCTGAGCAGGTACAGGGAGGAACACGAGGGAGGTGGGCTGGGGACCGGCCTGGTTTCTTTTCTCACAGCCATGGAAACTGAGAGCGATTCCTTTGATACTGATGAGGTTACGCTGGTATGAACCCGAAGGTACTAAGTCTGTGGCTGAATTTGGGCTTTGCCATTTGATGGCCCAGCCAGAGTAGTCCCACAAGTGCTTGAACCTGCCCTGACTGGCCTCGTTGAATGTCTAGTTGCTCTGGCTTTCCCAGACTGCTTTGAGTGTTAATTGAGTGGTGGTGCTTTTGGTAGCTCCAGACAGCTCCCTTCTCAAGTGGCCTCCTTGGTGAAAGTCCTGAGAGCTTGTCCAAAGGCAAACTCAGCCTTTCCTGATGGGGCGAGTGCCTGAAGTCATGAGTCACGTGAGAGTCACGTTTAGCTCATGGTTTTGTGTTCCCACAAGATGCTGCCACTTGTATGACGTCTGTACTGTTGCTGTCATTACAGCAGCGTCTTGCAGTCGTGGTCCAGGCATTGCCAGTGGGTTAGCAGGAGTGGTGCTTGTCTTGGGACTGTTGTAAGCTAGCCCGTTAATTGGAGTAGTTTCTGACCTGCCTGCTGGATAGGTGTCCTAACCTGTCATGCTGCAGCAAGTATCCTGGGCACAAAAAAAAAGCATCGCCGCTAACTCTGCTCTCCTGCTCTTTTTTTTTTTCTCTCTCCCCCTCTGTATCACGCTGTGATTGACAGGAATGTTTTCCGTAAGCTGCTTGCTCAGCCAGAGAAGGAAAAGAGCGATATCCTGTCACTGGAGGAGATCCTGGCAGAGGGGACAGACTTGCCTGACTCGGCAGCAGCTCCGCTTTGCGCCAGCCGCAACAGCAAGGCCAAGCTGAAGGCCCTGAAGGAGGCCATGTACCACAGCGCCGAGCACGGATACGTGGATGTGACCATTGACATACGGAGTATAGGTCAGTGCCAGCACCGTCTCTTCTCTCCCTCCTCACAAATACCACTGTAAGACGTTTTCTTCATGTGCTGTTGCTTACCCCGACCACAGTTGCACCTCCGTGAACTGCTGTGGAAGTGGTAATTGCAGGAGGGTTCCCAGTGAGTCTGCGGGTAAGGAAGGCAGAGTGAGTTAAGTGAACCCAGGTGTAGTGCTAAGGCTTTTGGAGCATCTCTCAAGCCAGTTAAGTGTCCCACTTCTTCTGCCAGCTGTACAAAACAGGCATCCACCCTACACATCAAATGGTGTGTTAGACCCATGCTAGCAGCAGCCCCTCATTCTCTGACCCCCATCTGGAATATGATGGGAGATCCTGCAGGTTCCTGGCCTATTTGGGCTCCACAGCATACCCTGCTCAGAGTCACTTTTCTGCAGGACAGAGCTGTTTCCACCAGCAGCCCTCTTCACTGCTGCCTGGCAGAGTATTAACTAGGTCTCTGGGGCAGTGTTTGTCTGCTGCAGACTGCTTCCAACAGCTCCTCTTTTGCACTCTGCCATAATGCAGTCCCGCAGTAAAAAATGCTTTCTTTTCCAAGGTTTGTGAGCCTCTGAGGGGAGGAGCAGTGAACTGGCTTCTCAGTGTCTAACTGTGCCACAACAGGGCTTGAGCATCATACCAGCTTGTTGCGAGTCTGCTTCTGCCCACAACGAGGGTGATTGGGAGCACAGGAAGGAGTCAGCCTAGGCTGTGTGCCCATTGATGTGTGCCCAATCCTCATTAATTTGCCTTCAGAGAGAGGCCAGGGTGCCTCCACGTGGTGCAGCACTCCAGCCCTGAAGACCTCTTGCATGGGTGAGGGTGTAGGGTCTTAGCACTGGCTCACCAGAATTGCTGAGCAGGCAAAGTGCTTGGTGCTGAGTGAGATGAGAGCACCAGGGCTGCTCTCAGGGTGCTGGGCATTTGCTGAAGTGGAAGGAAAAACCTTTTGTTGCCAAACCCTGGGCTTGCATTTCCTCCCACTCTGTTCCGCAAGAAGAGAAACTGGGTCACATCCAGCCTAACGCCTGGAGTAGTATATTAGCTTCGTGTGTTTTCTCATTCAGTGCATGGGAACGTTTCCCTTTAAGTTCCTGGAGAGTGGTTCTGCCATGACAAATGGCTCCTTGAAAAGGCTGATCTGCTTAACGCACCCAGTGCTGTTTGTGGGAAATGGGGTAGCGCTTAAGGAAAGTTGTAATCTGAAGACCACCACTTTGAATACAGGTGGGTAGTGACCAAAATGCTTTTTTTTTTTTTTTTTTTTTTTGCCATTTAATGGCTCTCCAGGGCTGCGTTCAAACAAATGAGCTAGTGTAAATCTAGTTTCCAAAAGGGTTTTGCATCACAGAGCACCACAGCAATTACCACAAATTGGCAGTCTCAGCAGAGAAGCTGAAGGCTAGATGAGCAAAGAGACCACAGTCTTCTCTAAGCACTTGGAGGAGGAGAGCCTCTGTGTATTAGGTCTGGGATGTCTTGATAGCCATCCACTTTCTCAGTTGTGGATAAATGGGAATTTGATTTCTAGGGTTTTTTGGCAGTTTTTGCTTAAAATCTTAACATGTATACAAGTGAAGGTAGCAATAGCAGAAAGGCAAATCCTTCTCTGGCTGAGAATGAGCTCTGTCCTCCATCCCTAGGTGTTCCCTGGACGCTGCACACGTGGCTGGAGTCCTTGCGAACATCCTTCCAGCAGCACAGGCGACCCCTCATCCAGTGCTTGCTAAAGGAATTCAAGTCGATTCAAGAAGAAGAGTACACAGAGGAGCTCATCACACAGGGGTTGCCTCTGATGTTTGAGATACTGAAAGCCAGCAAGGTAGGATAAATTACACATTTTAAAGAAATCAGCCTCATGCTGATCCTGTAAGACACAAATCTTGCAATATTGTTTTTTGCACAGTTGCTCCAAAGCTTGCTAGACTGTATAGGATTATTACTTTTTGTGTTGTGTATCTCAGATTTCTTCTCTGTGGAAGCATGGGTTAAAAACACCAGCTAATCGCATCTCCTGCTAGAACAGCTTAATCCTGATGTTAACAATGAGCTGGAGAGACAACAGAAGCTAATGCGTAGCGGTGAAATTAAAGTCACCAGGATAACTGCAGTACAGCAAGAGATGTTGATAACCAAGCCAACCCAGAGACTAACTTTACCCAGCTTGTTTTACAGGACCATGCAACAAAGCTAATAGTCGTGTTTGCTTTGGATTTATTTAACTTCTCACATGACTTTCTCATTCCTTCATGTGGGATTTGGACTTTTAAACTTGTGGGGAGACTGGTTTCTACAAGCTCACACACAGAATAATTTTTTAAAATCCTCTGTGTGAGTGTTTGTACTTGCAGCCTTCCCAGATTTATTCTTTCAGCTGACATTTTCTTAGCCAGACATATCAGACTAACAAAGCCTTTTGAGGGAGATACCATTAGGTATGCAAGTATAAGAGCAAAGGGAGGATCATGGGGCTGGCAAGGAGAGGAAAATGTCTTACCTAGTGACGGTTAGTTTCTTTCGTATGCATCACATAAGCATTCATCACATGCTGTGCATGTCGGTACAGTCTTCTATTTGTTTAACTGGGAAGCAAGTTTCTCACCCAACTCTATATATAACAGCAAGGAGTGAGTATTTTTTAGCACCTGCAGCAATAACCTTAATAATGTGGAAAGGTCTGATGTATGCACTCAATACTAAAGGGTTCCAGACATAGTATAGCTAGTGAAAGCCTACGTGGATTTATTTCTTGTATCCTGATGCAAAAGAGGGCTTGGAGTGCAGTCTTGTGCAAATGCTGAGTGTTTGTTCCAGCAGTTGCTCAGATTTTTCCTCCCATGAACTTTCCCTTTGGGATCGGTTTGTATTGGATAGGTATTTATGGAAAATATCTAGAGATATCTTTCGGGAAATCATTCCAAATCCTAGGATTTGTGGAGTCCTTGCTCAGAACTGGCTTGGGTTAATGATGTTCATCCAGTAACTACCAGCAAGGTGCTGTTTGGTTTGAAAGCTGATACAAAACTAATCGTATTGAAAATTTAACAGAGATTAAGTTTAAGAATTGTAATCTAGGATGAGGAATAGCTGTAACTGTGGTTCTCCTGGGTGGCTGAAGCCAAAGCTAATGTGTCTGTAGCTGATCGTTGTTAGAATAATTTTCTTACATGGGATCATACCTTCGGGAAATACTATACTGGGTCTTCCAGGGTGTCTTTTAGGAGACATTGCAGCAAATAAGACTGCTGCCTTCTGCTTTGGGTTCACTTAAGAGCTAAAATGTAGAGGGGTGAAGCAACTGATATATTCAAAAAAAGAAAAAAAATCTGTGCTGATTTTTGTTTCCACCTCTGGGCCTAGGGGAACTGCCTGTCTTCACTTTTCATGAGCATGCATATTCACAAACGCACACACATAAACTGCTTCATATTCTTAGAAAAATAATGAATCATTCTGAGACACTGTAAGGGTTTACAAATTGTCTGCAAATGACATGAATTATTGCCACAGTCTTGTCCAAAAAGCCTCTCAGAAAGCTTTCAGAGAAAGAAATGAGGACAGATTCTGTGCAGCCCTTTGAAAGGAATCAAAATAAATTCATTTGCAGAAGAAAGAGCCAGTAAAAGTTCTCCCTCGTTGCTCCGTAGAAGGCAGCCAAGGAAAACTGAGATTGTAAGGCTCTTCTGTTCCCCTTCTCTGGGAGGGCTGAGAGCAGAGACTCTTCTTTCTATATACCCACAGAGTGGAAATCTCCTTTAAGAGGTGCAGAAGGACTGTAACTGTAGTTCATGTCCCTCTCTTTCTACAGCGAACTGTAAAGCTCTACATTTTGTAGAGCTGCAGGGAGAGGCGTTTTGTCCACATGGACATCCTTTTCCCTGTGGGCCGTGAACTTCAACAGACATTACAACTCTTGCTGAACGTCACAGTCTGTCCCAATACATTTCCTTAATGAGTTTTTCAGGACAAAAAATATAAAATATGCAACTAGAAAGCACAGAGCCACTTAACATTTCTTGGCTGATATGAAACAAGATGTCCCATTTGCTGCTTATGATGCTCAGTATATTTTAATTGCATACCTAATTGAAATGGCATTTTGCATTCCTAAAAGTAGTTCCAACTATCCTGCAGTCTCAGAACAATTTACAAATATTAATGAGTTGAGATGTAGATTAAGATCTTATTGTCCTTTTATGAATAAGGAAACTAAAGTAATTAAACAGGTAGAATTTTAGTGCCTCACGGTGACAGTCTCAGCTTCAGAAGCTGTGACAGCCTAGCTAAGCCAGACATCAGTTTGTAATTTGGCCTGAGAGACTCCAGAATTCACACAGAAACATAGGGCAGGTCTCTGAATAGGAAGCAGGCCTTCTGCCCCCAGCTTCCACTCTGCACTGGGACATAAGGTTCGTGCTGGTTCCCAGGATATGCAAAAGGGACAAGTATTACAAAACTGAAAGACTAAAGAAAAACTAAGCAACATCTGTAAGAACAAGACCAGATATAAGGAATCTCTTTTGTCTTATAGATATTTTTAAAAATGCCTGTACCCTGTCTTCAAGCTCAGATGTGAGAGTTTGCTTGGAAGCTCTGCCACCAGCACTGATGCTGGTGTCCTGGAGCTTGGCAGGGTGGCACTCAGCTCCCATTTATGTGCCAGGAAACACCAGAAAGAAAAACAATATAAAATTTTCAGAAGCCCTGATGGCGGAACACAAGCTGGCAACAAAAATTGGCAGATCAGGCAAAACTGGCTAAGCTGAAGTCCCTGGTTTTATTGCCTCTCCTAAAGCTGTGAAATAAGAAGGGAAGAACAGTTAATAAATTGCACTTTGGTCATCCGCTGCTGCACTGAAGCCCTGAGGGAAGACTTCTGAAGGCACAAATGAGGGTTCAGTACCCAGCTCCTGGTGGCTGCCGGTGGGACTGAGCGCTTTCATTTCCTTTCATGCCTTTAAATGTCTTTATCAGCTGCACTGCTCAGACTGAGCGTGGAGGAATGACAGTATTTCTGTGCAGCCGAGGCAAAGCTACGAGAACAGGCAGATGGCTCTGCCCCTGTTGCTCTCCTGCAGTCAGCCCAGCACCAGATCAAAGACCAGAGAAGGCAGTGGTGGTAGGAAGGACATGGAAAGCTTAGGTCAGGGTGCTTTCCGAAGAGTAGGCAAAATTCAGATCTAACACTAAGACTGTTGATGAAGTTGTGGTGGTTCACCAAGGGATGAGGAGGAAAGGCTCTGCCAGTTTGGGACCAGCTGAATCTCTGAGGCAGACAAACTCGCAAACAGCCTGCTCACAGTGCTTTGGCCAGGGCTGTGTGTGACAAAAGCTGGAGAGACACTTCTGGGAGCGAGGAGCCCTGAGCTAAACTTCAGCTGCTGTGCAGTGCAGGGTTGAGTCCCTCAAAGCTAAGATGACACTGGAGATCTTGTTACAGAAGATAGGAGAATGCAACCGAATCGCTGCCTGTCAGTATCCGTGGTGCGCTCTTCACGGCCTGAGGAAACTCCCAAACTGCGTCAGAGCTCTGCGTTTGCCTGAGGAGCGGCTGTGCTAGCGGGCTGCCTGCAGTGCTGAGTTTGGGCCCCCCAAACAGAGAATTTATGTGGAGCCATGTGGAGGAAGCACCCCGATTTACAGGCTTGTAGTGCCCGAGGCAGGGCCGACAGGTCAGCTGTGGCCACCAGGGAGGACAGACACGGGGAGCTCAGGCCTGCCCCAGCCCTGAGGTGGAGCAGGTTATCCACACGTGGCAGCAGGCAGGGCTAAAATGGCCATTCCCTCGTGCTGGTGGGCAGCAGTCGAGGGGAAGAAATCATCTATGTGCATGTGTGCTCTTCTGTTTTTGCAAAGAGGATCTCCTGAGGCTAGCAAGCTGAATGTGGAGGATGCTTCTTCCTCCCCCTGTCTACCAAAATCCTGGAGCTGTTTCGGTGGACATTTCCACAACTAGAAGAGAGAGGGACTCAAAACCACAGCTTTGGAAGTTGAACACATCTGGTCTTTGGAAGAGGTTGGTGTTAGGTTTCCATTGTGGAGCTCGGCATGAGCTTGAATTATCATTAAAATCACCCAGCTCCATCCATGCAGACCAGCCAGCGCTGCTGCTGTCAGTACTGGGTTGTGAGCCAGTTTCGTCCACTGCTTTTTCTGTGTGCAGCCATTTAGATCAAATTGTCCTTGGCCACATTTTTGGAGAGAAAAAAAAAGAATATTTTAATTCCAAATAATCTCTCGTACAATTTTCTGCCTTCCCCCTACAGCATGGGCATGGAACTGCTATTTGCCAGTACTTGGGATCCTTTTTGGAAATATATTGCTGAATGTGTTGGTCCACAGGTGTTAAGTGCACATGCTAAAGTGTCGTCTGAAGCTCTGCTTGACACCAGAGGTGCTTCACGCCAGGAAACCTTGGCTTAGGACTGCAAGTATTCCTGCTAGTGTATTATCCAAGGCAAAAGCAACTTGAAAAGTCCTGGGAGGTCCTTCACCACCCTTCTTCAGCAGTATTCGTCCTTCCCGTCAGTTTCTGTCAGTGACAAGGTAGTTTATTTTAAAAATTAGCCCATTAGCGAGGCATTGATTAGGCTGTGCGTGAAGGCTTGTTGAAAGACGCACGAAACTATTTGCAAAGATGTTTCCTCAGAATTTAAACTTCGTGCCAAGTTTCACACACGCTACAAATACATCCATAGGCAGCTGAGGAAACCTGTAGGAGCTCACAGACTTTTTTGGAAGGTTGAGCTGTTGGAATAACGGCCCCGTGTTGACAGTTATATAGAACAAATAACGATTTAAAACAATAAACAGTTTTTAAAATTCCAAACGGATTCAGGGGTGTAGGTATCTCGAGAAACCTGGCCTGTGTAATTTAAAAGCCAAAGGGCTCTTTAACCAGTGACTTAGCCACTTGGAATCCAAAATCTCTTAGAAAGTAAATATTTTTAATACATCCTTTCAGAAATAGAAGCATGTAGCCTCTGTCACGAGTGCATTAACTATTAAAAAAAATGTTGATGGCTCTAACAAACAAAAAGCAGTGGGAAGGCCTGAAACACCTGCCTGCTCTGTTGTAGCAAAATGTTCAGAAGCTGAAGCTTGAGATGGGTGTCCTGTTTCTTGGACTTGTTTGCTATGGTCTTTGTGGTTTTAATTCCTCTAAAACAAACACCGGAAGAGGTTTCTCAGAGTAATGTCAACAGTCGCAGTTTGTGCTTCTGTTCTACAAAGTCCAGACACAGTGGTCAGCAAACATCATCTTTCCCTGTAGCCTGCACATGACGCGTCTCTGGAAGATGGAGCTAAAAAATTCCCTTTCTTGTCCCTTGCATCACAGTGGGCTGAAATGAATATTTGTTCCGATGGGCTTAATGGAGTTGGGTTTGCTGTGTGGGGCCAGGCTGTCCTCTTCTGCAGGAAGGGCTTAGGTTAGAGGGGAGAGGCGAACCCTGCACAGTGTATGGGCAGGCACTGGGTTGGTCTTGCTCAGCTCCTGGAGAAAAACCTTCTCTTGGCTGTATGTGTTTCTCGTACCTGGAAACAGATCAGGAAAGACCCCTCTATGCTGGGTGAACTTTCACATTGTGGTGGAACAGCTTTTCAATGGAAAATTGAGGTTTTGTTATAATGACAGGTTTCATTAGAATATTTGTTCTCCACATAATATTTTACTTTTCTTGAAAAAAATAATGCCTGGAAATGGAATATTTTGGCCAGCAACTGAAATATTTCGAATGAAAAAAAAGTAGACTTTCCACAGAGGAGACAGGCACATCAAAATCAGCACTAGAAATAACTCTGAAGACCTCCGTGATGCTAAAGTGCCTGCTTACAGGCTCCATGGAGTGGTTGATAACCTTCTGTGTGCCAGCTAATGGCCAGCTTGTGTTCAGTGATTGATCTTCTGGCTGGGACTTTGAGTGATTTCTTAAGGCAGGTTTCACTGTTCTCACATAATTGCAGTGATCTGTAATGTTGCCCATTGTCATTTGTAGTACTTCTGTGTCTAAACAGTTCAGAGTAACCAGGACGCAAGTCATCCACACATGTACGTCGTGCATTCTCCGTGTGAGATGTGAACGCCAGGTACTGAGTGGCATGTTAATAACAGACTGTTAACCCTGTGTTGTGTTTTCATAACACGGATTCGGCTTCGTACTAACACAGGTTTGATTTCTTTCCTATCCTCTGTTTGCCTTCTAAAATGTTTCCCTGCCAGAGGCAGGAGCCATTTCTTCATTTACAATAAATGAATGCCATGGATGTGACACCTGCCCTTTTCTGGGCTTTCACCCAGGGATTAGACTGTGCCTGGGGATCGGAGCTTTTTACATACAATGCACAGCTGTGATATAAAGAGTCTTTTGAAAGGGAGGCTTGGCAGCTTTCCCAGAGCTAACTGAAGGGTCCATTTGTGCCTTACCTGTGATTAATTCCTTTCCATTTGTATCTGCAGTGGAAGGACTTGAGCCTGGCTCTAACAAAACCCATTTTGTTATGCAGTTCACTGCCTCTAACTGTATCTCCAACCTCTGGGGCTTCCCTACCTTTGCAACTGTTGACTAATATTAATTATGTGTATGCTGCTTAATCACCTAGGAGTGACCCTCTAAAGTGGCATTTAATCAGTTTGATGCAGCTGGCAAAAGTGAATTGCGCTGGAGGACAATAGCGGAAACACCTAGAGAAGGGTGACAAAGGTTCAGAGACATGGAGAACAAAGTCTCATAGCAGAGTCTGAGTGCTCAAGCCTGGGAGGTCTGAGAAAAGCCCTCTGTTGTTTTACCCTTTATTGGCTCTTCATGGGAGGAGGGGAGCATAAATAGAGGAGTAATTCAAGGCCATCCCAGCCTGTCATGGAAGGAGGTTCGTGGGTGACACCTCAGTGGGTCTGGGGCATCTTGAGGCTTCAACAGTGCTGGAACAGCAGCTGGGGACCATGTGCACAACAAGTGACTGGACACAGCACTTCTGCTCTGTATTTTGTAGAGATGGGTCTTCCTGGCATCCTCAGGACCAGGGAGAGAAAAGAAACCTTTGCCAGCACCCCTGCATGTGTGGTTTCTCTGCTTGCTGGGGAGATGTGCATTAACTGCCAGACACCAAGCCCAGAATAAGTGCGTCATTTTTCTGCTTAACACTGGGAGTGTTTGTTTTTGTGGCTTTGTGGTAGAGGAATTTGAGGGCTTGGCGCACATACACGTAAATTGGTGAAGAAAAGCAGCCTAACTTGTAGAGGGCAACCAGGTGGAGGTAGCAAGATGTCTGTAGGTCAGTCAAGAGTCTTAGCCACTGAGGTTTGAGCAGTTGAGGGAGAATCAGTGTGGGAACCTTTGAAGAGGAGTCAGCTGATGCAGATTGTGATCTCAGAAAACTGGGAAGTCAAAGGGCAAGACCTTAGCCTAGCTGCTAAAGCCAACCTGGGTTTTCCCCTTAAGAGTCTGGACCATGAGCCACCAAGATGACACATAGCTTCCCCAAGTACTGGAGAAAACTGTTTTGATGTTTCCCAGCTGTGTCCAGGACCTTGTAGGACCACATCCCAGAATGGCAAGGCCAGGCTGAACCTGGTAAGCTGAACTGAAGCAAACTTCTCCAGGATTTGGACCTAAGTCTGGAGGAGCCTTTCCTGAGTTGTGCTGCAGATCTTCATCGGAAACGAATTCAGGAAAAGGTGCCCTTGCACCCTCCACCCAGTTCTTCACCTTCTCTCAGATCAATCAACTATTCATCTCTGGCAACTTGAAAACCTTCAGCTTTGCTTCAAGAGGATTTATGAATTCCCCCCACAGTTCAAGTGTGGGGAATTCCTTTGGATCTTTTCTGAGGAATGCTTTTAAGTCAGGAGAATGCTTGCATCTACAAAGCAAAGTTGCTTGCTCATCGACCAACGCTGCTGGAAGCACCATCCTCCCTAAGAAGATTCACTGCTGTTCCCTGTTCTCTCTTGCCTATTTGTAAACCACCCCATGGCTAGGTAAATATTTTCATTATATCCTATGCCAAGCTTTCTTTCCCCTCCCACAATAGAAGTCGCTCATGAGCTGAGTCTCTGAAAGGAAGCTGGCCTTGCTCCAGATCTTGGCATCACACATCCAGGCAAAATGTTTTTCAACATCAAACTGTGGCAAGAAAACAAACTTGGGTTTGCTCCTCTGGTGTTAATATCACCGCCCACAACTGCTGCAGAGAGCTCCTACAGCTGTTCTTTCACAATCAGCTGGTAGGGGGATGGATACACAGGGAAGAATTATGCTCAGCGCTTAAATGGGGTGGATGTGGCAACCAGGGCAGCTTTGGAGCTTCTCGGCATGGGTGCTGTGGAAGAGGGAAGGTTGATCAGGCTGGATACATCTTCTGCTGGAGCAATTCTGAGGCACCAGGTCGTGGTCTCTTGTAGTTGTTCCCAGTTACTTCACAGGCAGCCCGGCTCAGCCTGCTCCAAGAGCAACATTTGGCTTCTGAAAAAGCAGATTTTTTTCCCCAGCAATCCAGTCACAGACTGTACCTTTGACAAAGCATCCCTTTTATCTCTCCTTTTTGCCGATTCTTTCCCGGTTTATTGGTGAAGCCAGCAGGCTGCAGGGAGCAGAGCCAGGGCCCCGGGAGGTTTGGCTGCGCACGTGTTTGTGTGGGGAGAGGACTTGTTCTGCCGTAATAGCTCACCACTCCCCTCTCCGTGTCTTTTTTGGGAGAAAACTTGCTGTGGTTTGTTAGCGATGACTCGAAATGAGCACATGCTTCAGCTTTCTAGCTGCAAACATTTCTTAATGTTATCGACAGAAACCAAAGCTCTCCAACCTCCTCTCTGCCAAACGAGAGCGGTGTCCTGGGTGAGAGCTCTGGAGGTCCGCAGTGCTTGGCATCGCTGCCTGCTCGATGGCCCTGCCTCCCTGTTTGTCACTCTTCCCTTTGTCCCATCCTTCTCCTGCACCTTAGGGTTTTTAAAGCCTCTCTCTTGCGAACGTCTCATAGTTTGAGCTCATTAGAGCTTAATCAACACCAGTTTTTAACACAGCTGTGGGCAGTCAGTGGCAAGGTGGCTTTATAATGGGCTGGTGTCCACACACCGTGGGCAGGGTTCGTGCCCTGTTTGTTACCCTGTGAGCAGGCAGTGTCTTGCCCGTAGTGGCAGGCTCCCCCAGGCTTGTTGGTATGCAACCAGTTCCTGCCAGTTTTTGCTACACGTGTGGATCCTCTTCTCACCCCTGCATGGCTGGGGTTGGCCTGTTCTTCCCTGATCCTGCTGCACCTGAGCGTCCTGGTCTGCAGAGAGTGAGACCTCTGGCTCCTGCCGAGGTGCTGGGAGCTTGATACCAGATTTTTCACCAGCGCATTCCCACAGACTAGGAGGAGGAGATGTCATTACTGAAATATATGCCTGTTTTAATGAGCTGTTGCCCAGGCTCAGCTGTGGTTGGGACCGAGGAGTGCACGGACCCACTGAAACCAGGCTGGCACCCTGGCAGATTTGATGGGAGCTGCCAGTAGCTCTCCTCGGCAGCGCAGTCACGCTGTTATCCACTGCAGGTTAAGGTGATCATTGCTCTTCTACCTCTCCTCTCCAGAAGCTTCCCCGCGCTCCGAAGCACAGCATTAGCCCCATACTGCGTTGCATTTATTGACTTTTTAGCATCTGCCGCCTCCAGCTCGGAGCTGCCCTGCTGCTAATCGGCATCCCCCCGGATGCGCTCCTCCCTGGCTGACTCAGTCGGTGCGGCTCCTCGGCACAGCCCTTCCGAGCAGAGAAGCGATTGCTCTTTCTGCCCTGTCTGTCTAGAGCTCTCCCCCCAGCTCTCCCAGCGGCTGAGTCACTTCCTTCTGTGAATCTGGCTTTAAATCTTCCTTTTCTCTTTGCCCTGTGATTCACTCCCTTTATGAAGGGCTTTGCAGAGCTCCGACTTCAGGACACCGAGCAGAGAGATGCTCCCGGGGCAGAGCATCCTCCTCGTCCCGGAGGCACAGCGGTGAGCCCCCCTCTGAAGGCTGCTCTCTGTGCCTTGCAAAATGGTTTCTCTTGGTATCGGTATTTCTTAATATCTCCCTTATCTCAGTATTTCTTTTAATATTATGGCTGACGTAGTAGTGGGAGCCAACTTCTGCCTGAGGGTGAGTGTATGTAATTTCCTTTGACATCAGTGTGTGCCTATGAGGGCACAGCTTGTTTCCTTTTCCCACCCTGTTTAATGAGATACGGTGCAAGAGTCATTACAGTATCGCTGCCATTCCTCCTCATTTCTCGTGGGGTTTAAGGAATTTCTACTTTTAGAACTGAACTGAAATGTGCTCAGAGAAAGCAAAGCTTCGTTTTCTGTCTTAAAAGCCTGGAGATAATTTTAGTATAACATCTGAACTCCTCAATTTGTTGTGTTAGTATTATTTTTCTCCCTTACCTGCTTACTCTCTTGGTCTTGGACCCTCTCATATCTAGGCGTCTCATCACAGTTTCCCAGTTTGGAAGGGAATTGCCAACCAACATTGCAGTTAAAAGACAAAGCACTCCATTGTCAGGAATTAGCCACCTTGCCCCACTGAACTTGGCTAGACCTGCTCAGTTCCCACCAAAGAGTGGGATAAAGTTAGCAAAACCTTTTAAATCCGGCTTTCAGATGTGACTTAGAGAGTTAAGCACTAAATTCATTTCACTGTCACTCCAGCATAGGCTGACAAATAAATGCTTAAGTTGCTTAGGAAAGTGCCCCATGGGTGCCTTGCCCTGGATGAGTAGGGCCAGGGACCAGACCTGGCCCTGTGAGGTTCTGGTGGCTTCCTCAGAGAAGTGGTGCCGAGGCCAGTGCCAGGGATATAAAATCACATTAATGAAATGTTTGGGATTAAATGAGGAGCTTCTGTGGCAGGCCGTGATGCTTCTGTCGTTCTGTAGAGGAGGGTCTGTTTGTGAGGGGGTTGTGCTTAGAAATGTATGCCGGCGGTGCATCTGTTTGGTAGCTCTGGTTTTCTGAAATGTGGGCAATGGCCATTTTTCCAAAGAGCAGCAAAAAGTTATTTTACAAGAGCAGCAAAAAGTTATTTTACAGTGAAGTAAGTTTGCAAATGAAACGAAGAGGCTATTGTAAAGGAGCTTTGTTTATTTGGAGAGAACGTGGGCTACGGAGTTTGTTGGGAAAAGAACACTTGGGGAGTCCGAGGAGAGGACATTTCATTTTACCTGCTTCCTACAGGAGACATAACAAACAACTCAGTGAGAACTGTAGTTTACAACTACCAATAATTATAAGTTCCAATTTTTAATAAAGCTTCAGCAATTACATTTTTCAGCTTCAAAACAGGCAGCTCTTGAGAACAATGCAATACCTCCCTTTGAATGCCAAGTTTACGCTGTTTGTATTTGTTTTCTTTTGCTTAGAACGAAGTGATAAGTCAGCAGCTGTCCGTCATTTTCACTCATTGCTATGGACCCTACCCTATTCCAAAGCTTGTTGAAATCAAGCGCAAGCAGACCTCTCGCTTAGGTAAGCATGACTTGGAGATGCTCTTTGGTTGTTTACGGAGAGCTGTGGGAAGTCCACATTGCAGGCTGGCTGCTTGAGGAGGCTCAAGCCAAAAGAAAATGTGGACTTCGAAGGCAGGACTAGAAAAATGAAAGGCCCCAACCTTAGCCTGTCCTAAAACTCCCACTGAAATCAATAGGATCATCAGATGCACTGGAGTGGGACCGTAAATCTGTCTGTGTTGCTAACAAGGCTGGGATCCCAGCCCAGGGCCCAAAGCCAAACGTCTGTCCGCATCTCAAACCACTGTGGCTGGCTGGAGGTGACACCGCGGCAGCACGGCCCTCCCAGCCCTGCTGACAGAGCCCGAGTTGGTTTGATGTGACCTAGAGAAGACGTGAGCCAAGTTCCAGGACTCTCTTCCCCTTGGCACAAAGGCTGTCCTGCCCAGGGAGAGGGTGAGGGTATGGCCTGAGGGCATTTAGATGAAGTTTGCTTTGGGTAATGGAGCTGGGAAGCTGTGCCAGCTCCCTGCAGCAGGGCTGGCTGGATGTCATCTCAGCAAAGGTCGACACGGATTTCAAAGCTTTGAATTTCCTTAGTCTGAACTCCAAGTGGCTGTCTGTGGATCTTCTGTCTCAGACTGTCCAAAATAGCTTTATGGGCTTTCCTCATTAAAAACAATATCCTTTTACGTTGTTGTCTTCCTCTGTCAAAACAGGAAATTATTATATACCTTTGTGAACTCTTCCAAACCAATTTTTTTTTTTTAATTTATTTTCTTTGTGATTGCAGATCCCCATTTTCTTAACAACAAAGAGATGTCAGATGTTACATTTCTGGTGGAAGGAAGACCATTTTATGCACATCGAGTGTTGCTATTTACTGCATCACCGAGGTAAAATGCAAACATATTTCTATTTTTAACCAAAAGTAGAAATTGATTTTGTATTTTTGTTTTTGTTGCTGGTGCTAAGATTCTTTAAGGGCTAATGTCTGAACCTTCAAGTTTTTACTAATCAGAAAATCTCAACAGCCTGTTTCTGGTTGATCTACAGGATGTTAACAAGTGCTCCTATCGCTAGATTCCCACCCTGTAAATGCTCCATGCTTCTGGCCATGCATCTGACTTCATTCCACTGAGGCATTTTTGCATGGAGCTCGTTGCTGCATCCATTTCTGCACCCAGCATAGAGGAGTTGGAATAGTTTGATTTTTAGCAGTCATTTATCCTGTGATCAATTAAAACCTGTGTTGCATCAGTGTATACAGTCTGTAGGAAAAGCATGTTGCTATCACACAATTCATTGACAAGATTTTACATGTTTTTAAATAAAATTGAATATCTACAAAGCATGTCACGCTGTATCGAAAGGCAGTACGTATGGTTTGTGTCCTTTGCTCAGAAGGCCAGATATGGGTCAGCCAGCTCAACTTCAGGTGTATTCATTTCTTACACTGCTCACAAACTATTCTTACACAGCTCTATAATTAGTATCTACAAGCACATTCCAAACTTAAGCTTTAAGCTTATCAAATTGTGCTTGCAATAGAGTTTGACACTATTAAGATCAAATCAATTGTTATCCATATTTTAATTAAGATGCAGTTGAGGTATGGAAAAGGTTCCCATCCAGCAAATGCTGGTCTTGATAGATAAGCCAAGCCTTGCACTACATCTAGAAGGTCAGATGAATTATCAAAAAGAGAAAGTACAAGGGCTTGTGTTTTTAACAGTGTACCTCCCATTTTTACCTTTTAATCAAATGGGAATATCTAGTTTTGAGAAACAGATTGCTACATATGTATCTGTCTTACATACATCTGTAATTATCAATTTAAAATGTGTTTTATCCTGAAAACTGTCTGAATTTCAGGTTTTGATAATCAGAGAAAGCAACCTATCCAGTTTTCTCTCTTGCCTCTTCTTCTACAATTGTATTGAGCCTGCATAGAAGTCTTAAAATTCACACTATAGTTGTTTTAATATTTTGTTCCAAAATATTTTTAAAGCAGCATAATGGATATCGGCTAAAACTGATCTTCTTCAAATAGTTTTTCAGTTTTTAAATGTTGCAACTCTTCCTAAATGATGTTTCCAAAATACATTTTGATTTTGTAATATACATCATTACAGTTTCTGAATCTCCTGTATCCATTTTTTCCATTGTGATATCAGATATATTTTTCCAAAATTTCCAATTGAAATCTCCCAAAAGAAAGGCTTCTTCCTTTTAGACTGAACTTTATTTTATGTGTCTAAATCTTGAAGCTTGTCAGTGACAAATCCATGCATTTCAGTGTACTGTTTTTGCAAGAGCTGATGCTGTCCTTCCACTTTGCCATACTTTTTCACAGAGATAATTGGGCTGGTATTTCAATCTTGCTCCTTTCTGTTTAGGTTTAAAGCACTGCTGTCTAGCAAGCCCTCAACTGATAGTACTTGTATTGAGATCAACTATGTGAAGTACCCCATCTTTCAGGTAAAGTCACTTCTCACATTTAATTTGAATGGAACATAGGAACATTGTACATGCCCTGTCCAAACTAATACATGTGTATTTGATAATGGTATGCAGACAAAGCAGGGCATGTCAGTGTAAAGTACTTGATTCCTTTTTCTGTTGTTGGCTTTCTCTGTATTTAATGGACTGGCTTCCAGACACAGTTAATTCCCTTCTTTAGCAATATTATTTGATCACTTATTTGCCATGAAAATACAGTTTGCTTTCTGCATCTGTATCATATACTTGTATACGCTTCTCTTTACTTCAGTCAGACTTCAGGTGGTTCCATGTATCAACTGTTACAGATGCAGATGTTTCCCAGCTGCCTACAGTAACTTTGAGCGTGCTGGAAGCTCACTGCAGAGGGATCTCAGTTAGCTTGTATTACAGTGCAAAGGCGCCACCACTATTTCTCCTCATCTCTGCATGCCCACAAACTGCTGGGTGGAGGTGTGGGTGCCGTTGGCAGGAGAAGAATAAGCATTAGAAATGCTATATTATCATCATGTACATACTGAAAAATACAGTCAAAATTCAGAATGAATTTTTCAGCTTCCTGCACACTGTTTGGGGCTCACAAGAAAGTACAGACAACGTGGCTGGTGAGGGCTGAGATGTCAGACTACTTGTGAGAAGGAACCATTGAACTGTGCGGAAATAGAGTAGCCAAATATATCCTGAAATCAGTTGGATTGGGCCAGTTTTATGTACAAATGCTTGGCGGTATTGAAGAGCCTCTAGTGTTACCTGCAATCTTTACATGACTCCCTTCTCCCTGATGTCTTGAATTATTTTTTATTTTTTTATAAACACTCCCTTTGTTTTGTTACAGCTGGTTATGCAGTATCTGTACTATGGAGGTGCAGAGTCACTCCTGATTAAAAATAATGAAATTATGGAGGTAAGAGGCATTTATCTTGATTGCAGTGGGAGCAATGCTAAGTGATCTGTGTATCATTCACCCAAGGGCACGAGGCCACTGGGCAAGACATGGGCACTCCTGTAAGAGCCACCTCTGCCTCTCACTGAGTGCCCACAGTGCTCAGGCTGTCCACAGTCCCACAGAAGACACTCAGTCTCCTTCCAGCCCTGCTGTTCCCCCACTATGGTAACTTCTGCCAGCATGAAGTTGACTGTCACAAAAGAAAGAATAGCAAAATCAAGATCATTGAGCCAAAAAATCATCTGAAATTAAAACATCTAGTTAGATGCTTGGAGAGGCTCTTTCAAGGAAATTGGTGTTGTCAAAATCTGGAACCAACTCCCACAGCACAGTAAGCTGTTCTCTCTGTCTCTCAGCCTGCTAGGTGAGGTGCTCTGTTGAGCTGGGCCAGTCAGCTTCTCTACAACACTCTTACTTACTTTTGGCGTAGTAGCTCAGGCTGGCATGCCCAGACCTATCTCGGCAGTATTACAGGATCCAATTTGGTTTGTCACTCTGCAGAATTCTTGGGCACGCACCAGACTTTTACCACAGGAGAAACCCCACTGCAGTTAGTTCAATTTCAAGCATGTGAATGCCTCATTTTCTGAGTAAAATATTAAGCTGCTACCTGGAATACAGAGACTTCTTTGCTTTCTCACTGGGTGTTAAAAATCCAGTGACATTGTACCTGTTTGCAAAAGCCACTCCAAACCCATTGGATCCTTCAGCATAGCCACACATCCATAGCCTATCTGGGTATTAAGTCAGGCTCTTCCATATAGTGTGCACCGTCAATACCAGCTATGATCAACCTAACAACTCCAACTCAACAGGACTAAGACACATTTGAGCAAATTCTTGATAGTCATTTTGGGGAGCTTTCCTGTTGACCATAACCAAATTATGGCAGCCAAAAGGGATACAGGACAGTAAACACTAAAATCACAGCTATTTACATAACTGGTAATCATCAGTGTGCAGATTATGGTCTGCCCCCATGACCCTTTATTATTGCTTACATTAGTTAATCTGTCCCTATGACGCTGCCGTCTGGGGCACCCATGTGAATCTTGACTCTTAACAAAGTGCTGCAAAACAGAAATTGGGAGCAACTCTTCTGTGGGGTACAAGTGGCCAGGTTGAATGAGTTCTGATGGGTACAGGGGCATCTGTTTGAATCCTGCTAGCAACTGGAGGATGAAACTAGTCAGGACTGAAATCATCCCTCCCCAGTGCAAGCAGTGGGTTTTTAACTAAGCATACCCACGTCGACTTTCTGAGTTTTATAGGAAAAGGGCACTGATTCTCTTATTTGCAGTTTTGAAAAAAGCTCCTGAATTTCTAACCCTCTCTGAAATAAGGAGTCTCAGACTAGACAGCACAACAACTTTATAGAGATGCATATGTAATCACCTGGGTTGTTAAAAAGCTTGTGCTGCAGTTCAGCTGGCTGCTTGCTCTACTTTTGTGACATCTCAAAACTTCTGTGACTCTAGAATGTATGGCTGATTGATTGATTTGTTGATAACAGATCTGGCCACGGTTCCTCACAGTTTAAAGTAATTACAAACCAGCACGTGACTGCTTGAGCCACAGAGGCAGCTGGAATAGGATTTGGCTTTATCTTTCAGAACTGCATTTAGCAACTTGCCTTATTACAAATATGATAACAAGAAGTGCCAGAAATACTCCACAGAAATCTTTGCTGCAATTCATAATTGAGGCCAGCTGGCTGCTATCACATCAGCACTGCAGATTTCCAGCACTTGGATTTATTTATGGGATTAAAGCAGAACTTGAACGGATTGCATAGGAGAAGTCAGAATAATAATGTCATGGCAGTTTCGGGGTTTTGTTCCCCAGCGCTCCTACCTAGTGCTGGGGTATCACAGGAAGGCTCTTCGTCACGCAGTCCTGGGGTCTGTGATGACAAGATCCATATAAATGCCTGAAGGCCTTGGCCAAAGGGACTTGGGTGGGTTAAAGCAAGGTGTGAAGCAATGAAAAACCCCAACCTGCATCCTAAACCAGAGCAGAGAGCCAGAGGTGGTAACCTACCATGGAAAGATGATGAAATCCCCTTCCTCAGCTGGAAAAGGACATACATGTAAAAGAAGCAATAGGGGAAGTCCAAGCAGTATTGAAATCAGCTGGAGAAATCACAATTTAAGCCAGTTTTTCGCCCTGCATGCTTCAGGTCATGCTCCCCACAGACAGTGAGGTGCAGAGATCCCAAAGCAGCGCCAGGCCAGGCAGCATGGGGTGGGTGCAGGGCCAAAGAGAGAGGTCAGCTGGAGTCCTGATGGCACAAGAGCTGTGCCAGTGCAGCGATGCGGACACGTTACCCTTGTGCTAGTGCTGCTAGGCATCGCCTTACACCAGGCTGGATCCCCTGTTCGCATCGCATCCCACTGCACACCCACTCCACTTGGAGCCAGGCAGTGTTTGAGCGCCTGTGGCCTAGACGTGACCTTACTGCTGCTGACGAGCTAGAGCAAGGAGCATATGGAGGTCTGACTCCATTTCCTCCAGCCTGCTGAGGTGACAGGTTGGAAGTTTATTGCCTCTCTAGGTTTTTAAGACTACCCAGGGCAGTTATCGTCATCTGGTTTGAATTCTTCCCTACTCTTGGTCCTGGCCCTTCTGCTGACATCCCCACATCTAACCCAGGTGCTCTGTTTCAGCCAGAGCTTAGGGAGCTGCTGAACCCAAACCTCTTTTTCCTGGAATGCAGTTGCAGGTCTCTCCTTGCAATGTCACGTTTGCAAAGGGAGCGAAGACTCTCCAAGCTGACACTTCCTTTATGACACATACACACAACCCCATCCCAAAGTCAGCATGTGGACCTCAACAGCCCCTGGAGGTCTGCCCACGTACACCTTCCCCATGCACAGGCTGATCTAGAGGGGACTGCGAGGGGTTAAAGCAGCCAAGCAAGCTGCTCATTCTGGCTGACTGTCAGGGGTCAGTAGTTCCATTCAAACTGAAGCAGGGGCAGAGAAAAATTATAATGAAGCAGTAAAGAAGCAAGTTCTGAATGTGTGCCACTCAGCAGTTTTGACTATTTTTTCCGTTCTTTTGTTTTCTTTTTTAGCTTCTCTCTGCTGCTAAATTTTTCCAGCTTGAAGCTTTACAACGACACTGTGAGATCATTTGCGCAAAAAGCATTAATACAGAAAACTGCGTAGATATTTATAACCATGCCAAGGTAAAAATAACTACTCGTGCATGTTGTATGTCTCTCCTCGTACTTGTAGGTCAGTTTTATGCTAAGAAGTAATACATATGTCGTATGCTTAGTAGGTTTGTTACATATTAAGGATTTGTCATTAATTTATTGGGACTGTAATAGATATACCTAGTAGAGGTACAGTCCTAAATCACATCTAAGAGCGTCTGGGGCAAGTTCTTGCCCCCTTTCCTAAATGGTTCAAACTCTACTTGTGTGTACTACTTGTGTGGAAGACCTATCCCTTATCACAGCAACCCAAATTACCGAGTTACTCAACAAGAATCACCTGACTGAATAAGATCTCTCTTTTTCACCTTCTAGACTGCATTTTCACATTAAAATTTCCTATTTCCTCCTGCCTGAAGCCCACAGGGGTGATATATTTAATGCTGGTGATAACGTTTTAATATATGAAAATGCCTCATTGTCAAAGTGCAGTGTCTCACAGCCATGCAAAGATAGTAATGAGAGTTTCATGTCTTGGAGAAGAGGGATTCCTAGCTTCTTATTGGAATCAAATTACTTAACTAGTTAGAGAGCCATCAGGCAGAAAAGCAAGCGTTGGTTTTTTTTTGACCTCAAAAAATATTTTAGGTCATTGATGGAGGTGATTGTACGTTGATTAGTTTCATTTTTTTTTCCCCTCTTCTTTTGCTTGGTAGTTAGACTTTCACTTGGAAGATGGAAATGATACAAATAGAGTTGCAATTAAATATTTTTAAAGCATTCCTTAAACGATTCTTCTTCAACTTTCATGGGCTGTATGAAGGAGAAAATAAAATGTTACAGTGTGACACGGAGGTTTGATTGAACAGAATAATCCTGCAGATTGCTCCAAACCCCTGCAGATCTGACCTCTGTTCCAACCCTCAGGTATTTCCTACAGCAACTAGCAATGTTAGGTCTTGATGTACAGATAACATGCAATCAGTGTTTGAAATAGCATAAAGTTCCACTTCTTGAAGAATAAGAGATTAGGTGTATTTGCAGGTCCATTTATTGTAATAGGAAATAAAATCAGCAGTGCAGGAATCTTGAAAAATACTCAATTTGTCTTCTAGCTCATGTGGGAACTTCTCAATTTATGTTACTGTTACTAAAAGTAAACTGAATGATTTTGTTTTAAAATCACATACTTTGAATTTTGAAATGTGGCTGGGTTTTGTGTCCCAATTTAAAAACATTCTTACACCAAGCTTTAGACTTTTCTGCACCAGCAGTGTAGAAGACCCTCACTGAAGAAACCTAGCGTTTGTGGCTAAATCTGGTTCCTTGTTTGCCTGTAAGGGCCTCAGCCTTCCAGCTTCCTTTGCCTACATCTCTCAGTGGAGTCAGTGGAAATGGTTTCCTTGAGAGGCTTTTAATTCCAGGGTCATGTTTGCATTGACACGTAGTGCATTGCAGGGATAGCTAAGCTAGCTGTGAATGAAGTCCCGGCTTCTGGAATTACTTAAGTTACATCACCCTAGAGCTCTTCATGGGCCAATTTACCTTGCTTCCAGTAAATTACCAGGGCTAAGCTTCATACTGTTGTAGCTAGATTGTTTCCAGACCTTGAACTAACACATGTGAAGCTAGTTCAGATACCTCTCTGCTGCGCAGTGGTCAGAGTAGACTTGTCCATCCTTTTGCTCCTGGTCTGTGTGATGTGCAGGTTACCATCTGAGCCCAGTTCATTCTGCTCAGAGTGCTCTCGCCACACAGCAGCTTCACTTGCCTGTTATGTGTATATGAGATCATGGTACGTGGTGGAAGATGCCAGATGTGCCTCAGGAGCTCACAGGCAGGTCAACCAAAGCTTGCCAGCCAACTGTCTGCCTTCCCTTGTTGCTCTCTGAAGTGTGGAAGAAGCTCGTGTAAGACAGCAGTGAGGATGGGAATAAGGTGAGCTGGCACCGAAGACAGGAACCACCATGCCAGCCAGGAGCAGGTGATGGATTTGAGCAGCTTGTTCCTGTTGTAGGTAGCATTTTTAGTCCTTGCTACTTTGCAAGACCTGCAGGAACTCGGGTGATGCTGAGACCCATTTTTCCAGATGAAGATGTGCGAGCAGGGAGACACAGGGAGCCCAGTCCTTCTCACTGTGATTGAGAAAAAGACCTGATTTGGTGGAAGCGTAGCGTGAAGTGAGCGCAGATTTGGAAGGCTGTTTGTGGTGGGGGCGGGTGTTGTAAGAGGGGAGCATTTAGCAGGGTGGCGAGCTGTGTAGTAGGAGCTGTAGGAACAAGTGTTTGGAGCCCTGGGTTAAAGAGGCGAAGTACTGGTAGGAAGGTGAGAGAATGTGGGTTTTCTCACACTCACAATTTAAAAGCTGAACAGAGAGCATTAAATCATCCGTGGCTTTCCATTCTTAGGATTGCAACACCTACAGAGGCAGCCTTCCGATTAGTACCACTTCTAGGGTTTCGTTTTCATGTTACCTCCAGAAAGAGATGAAGTAACCAGGCAAATAGGATATATAGTGGTGACTGCTTAGTTACCACTGGGTACCAGTTGTGTTTTACACAAGTGACCCAAACTCCTAACAAAATTGATTGGAGTTTTAAATACATACCTAGAACACTCAGTGCTAGCACAATTTGCAATCTGGGCCTCAGAACAAGTCTAAAAAAAAAGAAAAGAAACACACATTATTTTCTCAGTGCTGTGAATATATTGAAATAATGAATAGGGATGAATGGTGTTTAAGAGGAGAACAACTCTGCTTTTCCCAGAGCTCAGCCCTGGGCAGGAGGAAGGGCTGAGCCCTGCTCTGTACACTTGCACAGCTTATAATTCCTGTAGCAGAGTATCATGGCTATACTCCTTGTATGACCACAGGAGCTGGCCAGTGGGTGATAACCACTGGTGGTCACCCAGCAGATGACCATTTGAGGTTTGCTCACACTTCATGGTATCCTTGCCTACTGCCCAGCCACAATGTTCAGTATAAGAGGAATATTGACAGCCCAAGCACATGCTCTGCAAGCCTCCATTTCTTCTCCAAAGATCCCTCAAGGCTGTTACTCTGCATGACAGGTTTCTGCAGTCATGGTCCCACTCTTGCGAAGGTTGGCATTCATGAAATGTGGGCTCTAGTAGCTTATCCCAAACCTATAGGTTTAGGGCGTGAAATCTTGGGTCTAGTGAACTCTGTGGTAAAACTGCCACCAATTTCCAAGGGACCAAAGCTTCAGCCCTGGACACCCAGGGCCTTGTAAGGTAGAACTTATAACCAGAATCACAGGCATAAAATACTGTTTGTATACCCCCATGTCCCTCTCCCAACACAGAGATCTGTAAGTGTTACTGTGCCTGTCTGAAGGGTTTAGTTTGTGTATTTGTTTGTGTGCAGCTCTTACGCACTGTACTTGCTGACCAGGTTTTATCAGAATGGTTATCTTTCTCTAATTTCACTTCTTGTAGTTTCTCGGAGTCACAGAACTATCTTCCTATTGTGAAGGCTACTTTCTAAAAAATATGATGGTCCTCATTGAAAACGAAGCTTTCAAACAGCTGCTGTATGACAAGAACGGAGAAACATCTGGTCAAAATGTACTACAGGACTTACAGAGGACGTTGGCTACAAGGATTCAGTCAATTCATTTGTCTTCTTCAAAGGGCTCCATTGTATAAAGCTGAGGAAGATGGTAACGCTTTAATAAAGACCCTGCAAGTTAAGTCTCCTGTTGCAGTTGCTTAAACAAATACAAAAAAAAATAGATTCTACTTCGCATCCAAATAGTTCTGTGTTGGCCAAAGGCGGTGTGCTGAGGCCACAGCCTCGTTTGGATGAGGGAATGCAGAAAACGTAGCTCCTGCATGCTTCTGAGCAACAGGGGTACCAGAGCGTCCAGTGCATCGCTGTTGTACTCAAATTCTGAACGTGAGAGTGTGGTCGTGGAGCTGGATGCCAACAAAAGCCAGAACTCACACCAGTGAACAGCAGAAGCCCCAGCCTGAGCAGTGGTGCCAGGGAACACCTGAACCAATCGACCAATTACTCATTCAAGGCGGTTTTGTCCCAGTGTTTCGCATTTAAGAACTGTGTCTGTCCCGGAGTCCATTATCACGTACACTTAAGAAATGTAAGAACTGTTACTGCTGTTGAGCAAAGATCAGTTGTGTTAGAGAGTGGGTAAGACTGTCGCAACTGAGGAAGTAATACCGGCAGATTTTTAGGGGTGGGAACTTTTTAAATTGTTCATAAAAAATAATGGGGTGGCCTTGTAGTTTAAAAACTATTTCTTAAGCTTAAAATTTCATTTTCGACAGAGCTGTGTTTGAGAATCTATGTAACATGTTTTGTTTTATAAATGGTTAAAATGTACATTGTGTAAACATACATATGATCGAGTTTTGCTTGTATTCTTTCCTAAGGTGGTATAATCTTGCCTGACAGGCTATGGTTACACCAAAGAGGTACATTACCCAGACTATCTCTAATACAGTAGTTGGGGGGGCAGGAAAAACTGCATGCTAATTGTGATTTGGGGTTAAAAACAATGACAAACTCAACATGCATTTGCATGGTAACTGTACCTGTGAAATGTTCTGTTCGTGCTTCGTTTTGCCAAGACAAATGCAATGTTACTTCTTGTCAAACTCCATTTGTGAAATTAGCACATTATTTTATCCAGTGCAATTGTTTGTGATATGATACCCCCAGAGACCCTTCTCGAGATGCTGATGTCTGTTTGTTACAGTGAAGGGATAATAACAGATCTTTACTCTAGTAACGTGTCGATACTTTGCTACTGGCCAGAGATTGTGTCCAAGTTAGACTTCTTTTTTTTTTTAAATTATAATTAAATATGTACTATAGAATGATTTCTCGTTATATCCTGAGAATGTATAGGTTATCTACAATGCAGGGCTTGGGTGGGGTGGGATGGGGGGGTGCGATTTGATGTCAGAGCTTCGTTTATTTTGCAGCGTACTGTTAGCGAGATAAATCTGCTACGTGCCACAACATTCCTGATGCTCTGTCTTTGAGTGATACTTTTCTTGAATTGTTTGATTTAAAACGTGGAGAAAACCACAGCAAGGCTTAGGCAAAGATACTGCCTTTTCCATGGCAAAAAGTGACATTAATATATTTATTTTCTAGCATGCTGTTCAGAAACTGTGCCCAGTTCATAGACTTTTTATTTTGGCAGTGCTTGGTAACCTCTTGTTCTTCTGTTGAAGTGTCTACGTCGGCTGCTCTTCCACGGTGATAGTTTTTGGCATGCTCAGAGAACATAGCTTTGGCTTTAGTTATCAACACGGTAGGGAGCTGTTTTATCACTCTGAGGTGTAAATCCTCCTGTGTGCTTGGTCTTTTAAAGCCTGTACAATTTCTGCAACAAATTGCAAAACTGCCACTAGTGTCGCGGAGACACAGCATGTCATTCAATTAAACCTTTTTTTTTTTTTTTTTATCCTTCACAGTGTATGTCCACACGAGATGTTGTCAGGAACATTTAGGTGATGGTAACTTCTTTGTGGATGTTGCCATCTTAGAGAAGCAAAACTGTGGCTGATGCAGCGACAACACGCAGGGGTGCTTGTTGCCTTTTTTTTTTTGCCCCCTCCTCCAAGGAAAGCCATCCTCCCATGCTAATAACGAGTAGGCAGGAGCAGACCTCATCCCGCAGTCTGGTGTCAAATGTTACAGTGGTAGCCACAGGTGTCACATCCCATGTTCAAAGCTCTTACAGGAAGGGATTGCAGCTGTTGGTTATAAGGGAATTACTTTTGTCCTTCAAAACACAGTCATAGATTTGTAGCTGAAAGAAACCTTAAAAAAATCATAATTTCCAATACTTTTTTGACCTGTAACCTGCACAACTTTTGGCAGCAGAAGAGCCAGCCCCTGTGTAACCCTGGCGTGCATTTCTCCTGCAAGTAGTCAGCAGAGCTTGGTGGATCCACACATCAGAGCTATGATTTTAGCCTGTCTCCTGCCACAAGGCTGGTTGAGGTATAGCTGGACCACACCAGACAATGTGTAGTTTGCGGGCTTGATCCAGAGTCTCCACCACCCTCGCAATCAGAAGGGTTTCCTCACAGACTCTTCAGAAATTCGCTCCTGCAAAGCAAGCCACTTTTCCTTCAAGCCCCAGTTGACAGGAAGAGCTGATGATCCATGGCCTTTTTATGAGATCGTTCAATGTATGAGAGGAAATATCCTACTTTCCTCACTGGTATAAGTCTTTCCAAGTCCTTTCAATAATATTTTCTAGGCCTCTGAATTTTGCTGTCTTTCCTCTCATCTCCCCAGCTTCCCCAAAATGCTCTGCTCCCCCAGGGGAGTTACACAGTAACAGCCAAAGCACAGCGGCTTTCTCAGGAGTTTTATGTAGAGCATATCAGAAAATATATCCCAGAATATTTTCTACAAGAACATCCCATGGCTTTGATCTACCCTACCTTGCATTATAATTCCTGGGTGATTTACTGCTCCTTTCCCAGGGGTTCCCTTTTGGATGTGTGCTTTTGTTTACTACACCTTATGAAGTATAACGCTTTCGACTTGTCTTTATTAATTTTGTGCTGCTTTAATTGGGGCAATTTCCCCACTTCATCAAAATCAATTTCAATTCTGATCCTGTCTTCTAGCCTGTTTCATAATCTCCTGGCTTTATTATACGTGGCTTCATGCATGGGTTCTCCGTTCCATTAATCTGGGGCTGGGAGGAAGGGCTCTGTTGTAAATTTAATCTAAAAAGCAGCGTGAGTTTCGGTGGGTGCCCGTGAATACCATCCCTATCAGATACGGCTCTTTCCATCAGAGCGTTTTATTAGCATTTTGCAGAGGGATGGTATTATCATTTTGGAAAGCAAATGGCCTTCTGCTTCTTTAATCTTTTTGTACGAGTTGTGGTAATTTACAAATTTAGAGGGAAAACGTGACCTCTGCACTCTCCAGCCACTCTAGGTGAGATGGAAAAAAATTGTAAAATCTGTAGAAAACCTTACTTTTTTCTTTTTTTTTTATCATAACTTTCCAGCTTGTAATGAGTGTAGGGCTGTTTTGGTGCCTTTCATCTGTCTTTTTTTTATAGTAGCCCAGTGCTGTAATATTTGAGGACTTGCAGGCATCCTGCCCTGCCTCACTGCAGGCCTTTCCTTCAGCCCCTCCACGAGGCCCTCCCTTAGCTTCCTCAGCTCCCTCACATTTCCACTTTGCCTCGCATGCTGCCAGCTTCCACACTTCCCAGTTTGTTGCTCCGGAGCCCTGCTGGATCCCGTCCCAAGCCCAGAAATGGTATCTGCGTTCTCCCAGACGGGCAAATTTCCAATAATCTGCTCCAGAGCTGGGAAGAGAAGAGGATGAGGAATGTATGAGGGCAAAGGTTTTGGACATCAGAGAGGAAGGCTGGTATCCTTCTCAGGACAAATTTCAGCACTGTCTGCTCCTTTCTCAGTTTTTCCCTGATCTCTTCCTTAAGCCTGCTGTCCTCTTCAGGCAGCTGGCGGCCAGATGCTGTGCTTCTGGAGAAGGGCCAGCTTTGTAATGCCTGAGACGTCTTCCCAGCTAAGGCTGTGCCTGCTTGGACTCGGCTTCTGAGTAGACTTGTGCGAATGTCTATTAAAAGACAGAGGAGAGGCATTTTTGAAGAGGTGTGAAGACTTAGTAGCCAGTCTCCTGTTGGCATTGTGAGAGCTGAATCTCCTCCACATGCTGCTGTTGACGCTGAGCCTTTTTGTCTTGAACAGCCACCGACCACAGGCTTCCTACTAAGCGGCGAACTTGTCCTGGATGTGTTGCAGCCTGTGGTGTGCTGGGGACTTTGGGGAACTCTATTTTTTATTTCAGTGGTGAACAATTTGCTGCCTTTTGAAGATTAAAAGAAAAAAAAATCATCAGTTTGCACTGAAGTAAGCTGCTCTGAGGTGGTATGGTGAGAAGGAAGGAGCACCCCCAGCCCCTCAGACCTGCCCCAAATCAGAGGAAGGTTCTGTTACAGCACGCATTGCCCCTAAACCTGTGGGGGCTCAGGTCTGCAGGACTTAAATCTACTTACGAGATTTATTTTGTAATGTTCAAGAGAAGTAGAGGTGTTGAAGTTCACACATCTACATAGTCAAGGCAAGACTTGGCCATCTTGGAGAAAAAAAGGCCATTCCTTGTACTGCTGTCCATGGGTTAAATCCCAGCAGAGGCTGGGATCCTGCAGAGCTCACTGAAGTCTGTTGTGTGCATTTAGTGTCCCTCAGGAGCTGGTTCTGTTTTTCAAAACCGTTCCTGAAAGATGACATCCTGAAGCCTGCCTTCACTAAAGCTGCCTCTGAAGTTAGTGGATGACTTTTTTTTTTTTTTTTTTTGATGAGCGAGAGTTACCTGAAGTCAAAGACCTGAAGTTAGTTTGTTTGACAAAGTGTCTTTCATGTGAGGATCTGCAAGTGCTTTGCAGAAATGAAGTGCCTGATGTTGCTTTCATCCCCTAGCACAAAGGCGTAGGCCTGTTGAGATATATAAGCATTAAAAAGGCCGCTTAGGATTTGTCCTGATATTTAATAAACCAACTTTCAGGAAGTTAGCCTTGAACTAACAGCCAAATAATACCTGAAACTCTACAGATGAGAACATCACTAATTTTAGATGCTTGTACATAAGCACATTTGTATCTCTAATTCCTAGGACTTCCAATCACACCTTCCACACATTTATAACAAAACCAATGTTTTTTATTCTTTAACGTGCTATTTATTTTGAGGTGAGGTCTGTTGTCTTCAGTGGGTGAAAACTGAGGCTGCCAGCTCTGACCAGACTATCACTTCGCAGCAGAATTGCACCCAACCCACCATTTATAACTGGCCTATAAGGGCAAAAAAATAAAAAAAGTGAAGCTGAGTCTTCAGCTGTGAGACAATGATCTGTGAGTTCAATGAGACCACTCCTGAAAACATGGTGAGTGTGGTGCCCAAAGCAGGAAAATCTGGAAATCTGCAGAAGCTAATGGGCATTTGCCAGCTGGCTTCAGTGAGCTTAAGGTCTGGGGGAGTAAACATAGTTGGGGGAGGAGGGGAATGTATTTGATTCCTTTTTGTTGCCGCTAAATTTTCATTCTTTTAGCTTGGTTCTTGACTTCTTGTGTGGATCAGTCATGGGTGGCCTAATTTATCTTAGACTTTTTTACACAGAGCGTCCTAGATGTGGCTGCTTTTGTTTTCCTCAGGTTGGCGTGGTCTTGGTAGATGATGCTTCCTGTGCTTTGCTGGGATTGCTTGTCACTGAAACACCCAGGAGACATGGCAGCACCTTGCAGGAGGGGTTGCATTGGCTAGACAGGTTGAAATCCATTAACATCTTGTGGTTTTGCAAGCTGTGCTGTTTCGTTGGCTAAATCTGCTCGCCTGATTGTACATGATGTGCCAGAAGAGTGCTTTCAGGGTTTGTTCTCCTTTGGGGAGGCACTTTTCATCCTTCTTTGGGCACAGTTTTACTGTTTTTTGTTTGTTTGTTTGTTTTGAGGAGAGGACAGGACAGGAGGGAAGGGGGCAGCAGCCCCATCTCCCATCCCTCGCTCTGCATCCCTACCCAGCACGTGCGGCTCTGGGCTCTGCAGTGCTCAGGGTTTGCTTGGTCTCACTGCTCAGACGCGGCCGTGGAGCTCCAGAAATTGGTAGCATTTTTTCTTGGCCTTATAAATATCTCCATTGCTGCAGCTGCAAGAACAAATTTGCCTGAGCCCCTTTGTGTGTGGTTAACTTTGGTCTTCCCACTTCCCATCATCTCTGCTGCTGTGTTTTCATTAAAACTTCCATTACGCGGCTTTGCCCAGCGCAGTGAGAGGCAATCTTGTTTCTTATTGCCTTTCTAAAGCAAACAAAGAAAGGGG